AAAAATATATATAAAAATTAATTTAACACTGGTTATGTTTCTACCCTTTGGTGCTAGATGAATTTGCACATTTTTGGCTGAAGCTAGATCCAAAAGTATTAACAAAGCCATTGAAACAACTCTTAGCTGAAACCAGACTATTCAATCCTTGATATATAGGCATTTTATTTCTCTTTAGAAAAAAATTGAACAAGAACTCTATGGCCTCCTCAAGTTAAATTCTCTTTTGTCCCTTCATGTTAATCTCCATTTTTGTTTGTGGACATGCGACACATTTGGAGACTTGGCTCTAAACTGTAAGTGTAACACTCTCTTCTCTTCTCCCAAGGCCAAGGAGTCTTCATCTTTGCTATTCGGTGGCCCCATTTAAGGGATAAAAGACCTTGTTCTTGTGCTTATTGGAACAGCACTTTGGAAGGGCAGTTGAACCTATTATGTCATCCAAATTTTAAAGAACGCTTGCTGGAGCAGGGAATGGAAAAAATTATATGGTCAAAAGTCGATCCCTTGACCAATACGAAATCAGCAAAATCAAAGTAGTGGGTTACCTGTTCCATTTCCATCTAATCCCTGCAAATAAGGAAAACTGTCCACTTCCCAGGGTGAACTGGCTGCAGTTAGATAAGCTGTCAAATCGCTGTAGCTAGTGTTCTCTGGTAATTTCACAGATCTTCTCTGGAAGTGAACTTGTGGCTGAGTCCGTGCACCTAAAAAAATTAGAAGTTACTTTATCTCCAAGGCGGATAGAATATTTGGGTGTTCATATTTATGGAAGCACATGTACAGTTTTTTTCATTATAAACTGAAATAGCTTGAGAAGGACAGAGACATCAGAAGGCTAATATGAAAGAGAAGGAAAACCAGTATTTTTACATCTATTTTGCAGTTGCCATTATTTTTCCACAACTACCACAGAGCACAATTGTGAAGACACCTCATGTTAGAAGCTTTTTCTGACCACGTTATACCTATGGATCACTTTCAATTTCATTACACACTTCTTTTAATGAATATAACTGAAATTAGAACTCAGAGGCAGGGCATGTACAAGCTTAGAAAAGCATCCAGTTCACCATTTTTGTTTAAATTTTGTTTCTCTGTGACTAGCAAGATAAAATTAGCTGCTATTGAAACACTCTTTAAAGTTATTTTCTAAGAGACTACAATTCTACCTATAGTCCCAATTAACTTGTATAATTTCCACATTTAATTTTTACAAAGCTTTGGCCACATTATCTGTCTCTATTATATATCTGTCTGAGCTAATAGTAACCTTTTATTTAAATCACTGCATAAAAAGATTCACTTGACAAAGCTTGAGTGAAAAGAGTTTCTGTATTTTCCCAAGCAAAGAACACATCTAAATAGAACTAGATTACTCTTTTCCTCTTAGTTCTTTTTTCAGTATCACTAGGTGTTAATCAAAGGGTCTTTGCTGCAACATGATTTAAGACTATTTCATGCACTATGGAATTTCATGTCTTATTTAAATCCCAGTTTATAAAGTCAATAGCTTTTTTCAATGGATGCTCACCATTAATACTGTTTAGCAACACACAGCAAGACTCCATCTGCTAGTTTGTGTGTGCGACATGCATATTAATTTTTAAATCAAAAGTTATTGTATTCTCCAGAGTTCATTTTGAATACTCACAGAATACTCCCCACACAGCACAAAATCAAGAGGCAAGCAGGTTTTTTTCTTAATTCACATTTGACTATGCAGTTCAAAGATGTCAACTCAAAACAATTTTGCTTCTTTTCCCCTATTAGTTTCTGGCAGCACTTTTAGGTTACATGTAACTTCACTGCAAGAAAGATTAAAGAGCCTGACACACAACTCCTAAGCTTTGTAACTGCTAATGTCATTAACCAGGAGACTGGAATCTCTTCTTGCATTATTTTCTAGCAGGACCTCTAGCTATGAGAAAACATCAAATTCCACAGAACAAACCTGGTATTGGTCAACAAAAATTGCTATGTAGGCGGACAAGTATGTCCAAAGAGCTCATAATTGTTTAGCTGTCATTTCTTTGGTAATTCTGCAAGAAAACCTGTAAAAGCACTTTTCTTTTTTAATTTCTGAAACATTTAAGTATTTACAGCAGGCTCTCAAGACTGGCAGTAAACTTAAGTGTTTAAGACAATCATCAAACAACACTCGTGTGAAACAGGAAGAAATCTCCCTTACCCAATTTCTAGGCTTAAATGGAAAACAATCAAAAAGACTAAACAAATTGCCTGCAATGAACTTGGGGAAGACTTTTCCCTGGAGTGCTCTGCAATACTGTAGTAGTTTGCTGTACCTCAGGGACAGATCTGCTTAACCACTTGAGAACCTCTGACTGCACCACTGAGCAGAGGGAGGGGCACAGAGGGGTAAGCATCCACAGTAACAAAACAGAAAAAAAAACTACAACAAAGAAACTAGCATTAGGATTATCACTAACAGTTCAATGTAAAATTGTAGGATTTTATGCTGTCTAAATCTCTGGTTAAGATGAAATATTCAAGTTACCAAGATCTGGTATTATATTTCTGAGGATCCACACTAATTAAGAACTAAAAACAAAGTAATTGTTGTTGAGTCTGTAACACTTTAGTTTATGGGGAAGCTCTGGGGTTTTCTGTAAAAACTCAGTTGTTTTGTAGCGCTGGGAGAGCCATGAGCTGCCAAATTCAACCAGACAGGGAAGACTCAGAAAGTCAACCTTGGTTTCTTGAATCTTACAGGCAACACAAAGCATTCCTATGGCAGACCCCCAAACCTGGCAGGACACCTGCTCAGCAATCAACTTGGATGCAAGTTTTAAGGTGGAAGAAACAGCTTTCTCTGTGAACAGTGCACATACACAGAATAAATCAGTGCAGAGTAGTTAATTCACACCCTAGATTAACAAACTCCTTGATATTGATATTCACTTGAAACCTGACATTCAGCCTTAGTCTCCCTTCAGCTCCGCAGTTGGGTCTCCCCAAACCCAGCAAGAAACTTCAAAGGGTCAGAAGATGGGGAGCTATCAGCAAAAGGCTGGGGAGGGAGGCAACTACCAATGCTTTCGCCTTCTCTCACCACCTTGCTAGAAGATAATGTACTTGTTCACCAGAGGTCATGGAGCATTTCTGGGCTTATGTTTGAGAATAGACTTTGAGGGAACTGGAAGTGGTAAAATGGAAGTGGAAAGACTTTTGTTGACCAGACTCTTCAAGCATTTTTCAACAAGCTTTCACTTTTCACTGGGAGTAGATTATTATTATTGCTCTTGTTACGGAACCAAACAAAACCCAAATACATTCAAGTATAAAATTGGCATGTGAGCTCTCTCCACATGATGAGCACCACGAGGGGAAGGACTTCTGAGCACTGGTCTTACCTTCTTTAAACACACACACTGGCCATAATTCAAACACTGACAGCTCCAGTTTGTCAGCACACACTTTGAAGATGTAACCATATCAAAGGCATCTCCTGCCATGCTGGATGTGTGACATGTGGCACCACACTAGTATCTGACCTTCAGTCTGTGAAGTAGTATCTGAAGTATCAATTCATGCTCTGATTGCTCATAGGTCAGAGGCAGACAGAGGGTACCAATACAGCTCTCATCCACCAAATGCTGAAGTTCAGCTTGTCACTGTGTCAGTATTAAATAACGTAAATGACCCAGTGGCTGGCAAGTTCCATCCCTCACAATTACTGACAGAGTATAGCAGAGGATTGTAATGCCATCATGAAAATGAAGCTGGCTGCATCAACTCAAATTTCTCAAGTGCACAGTAAGTCACTTGCTTGATTAATTATTCAAAAGCAACTGGTAACTTACTGTACTAGACAAGTCTTTCTTTCCCTTTGACTGGTGCTTCAAACACCAGGGTTCCCAGTTTGTCCCTGGTAAAATGAGTTCTGTTTTGCTCGCATTTTTGCACTAAGGTAACTCCTGATCAGCTTTTTTGAAGCAGCTCAAAGTTTCTGGGAAATAAACTGGAGAAGTAACAGCAAACTAGGTCAAAGATTTTGGACCAAGGCTAGAGAGGCTCCATTCAAACGCTGGTACAGTGCCTAGGCTGTCCTTTCATTTAGATTTAATCACAAGAGAATTCCCAAGAAAAGGAGCGTGGGGTGGTCCCATAAAATAGTTTTTACTGGGCAAGACTGAAGAGTTCAAATTCCAACTCTTAACTTATCCTCTTTCTCTGCTATACCAGCAGAACTAGTTATCGTATTCTAATTTAAATATATTGGGAACACCCTGGATCAATTCACTGAAGGGAGTAAGATTATGTGGAAAATATTTATGAGTGTCACTCAGCTGTTAAGCGTCCCTCTAGTCCTTTAACATCCCGATTTTTTGAAGGAAGGAAGCTGTAAACATGAGAAGATTGTTTTTTCTAAGTTAATTGCACAATATTAGTATATTTGCATAAGAATAAGAGTATTTAATATACCATGCTAGTAGAATACTGTTGGTAAACAACATTTCATGTTTTGTCTAACAGAATCCCTTGTGGTTTAACACAGTTCACCATCCATCTAATTTATCCCATTAGATAATGTCAGCTCTCAAATTGCAGAATATATGTACGGCAGCTGTGCTGTTCTCCAGCTTCTTCTGAGCGTTCCATCAGCTATCTAATTTGTTTAGTGCTTTTTCAGCTCCAGTCGTATCTAGTGCTATCATTAATGAAAAGCCCATTGTGTCTGGATGGTTTCTAACCATAAAAAAAAGATGTTAGGAAGGCATAATTGTATTACATTCCCTCAGATAAAACAAGGTTATCTTGGAATATTACTGAAGGTAGTATTCCCCTGTTTATTAACTATCTGGTAGAGTTTACAATGATGGTAATCATGATACACATGAATAAGACACAATTTACGCACAATGAGAGTGCCCACAGGAAGGATGTTCCCTTGTTTTGGCTCATCAGGTATTTTTAAAAACTTCTGTTCTTTTGTTAACAGACTTAACCTTAGCTATCAAATCAACTGAGCTAAATTAGGTCAGATCCCTAGGTTAGAAGAACATATTCTTTACTGTGCAATTCAGAAAACACAGTGTTCATTTGATTGATGAACAGCTGCTTTAGTTGCCACAGTTGCTTTAACTTCTCTTTGGCCTCACAAAAGGTGATTTGAACTTTATTCTTCTAATAAAGTGAGTTTCATCCTGTAGTATGTGGGTTTGCAGGCAGTCTGATAAGGGCTCCACAGGAAGTAATTGAGAAAACCAAGTTTATATATGGTGTACAACACCACAGATATGAGAAATTTTCTATTTTTCTATGCCCTAAATTTCTCGGGCATTTACAGTAGAAAGTAATAAACAGAGAAAATTCTTAGACAATCAGAACATCAGCAAATGTTTACTGTAAGGATGGTTAGATAAGGCTAGATGAAAAAACATCTAACAGCAAAAGAAATTTAATCTCTAGCTCAAATGGCACACTAAAGTCCAAACTTGTTTATTACCAAGTAACTCAATTTCCCTAGTCAGAGCATCTAGGGATGAATTTAGCTATTAATCAGTTTGGTGAAGCCATCCTACAGACGAACATTCCCAGGGGAACTCAGAAGAATTCCTGATGAAATACTAGTTTCACACACAGGGCAAAGCTCAGAAAGTATCAGTCTGTCACACTTTTTGTTTAAAGTGTCACTCAAATTTCAATTTTGTCTTCCAAAACCCAGCATACCTTGAAATCCTGAGACTATCTGGACTACATCATCATAGACCATTAGAGTAGCTGAGCGTTCAGGAAGAAGGCCGAGACTCAGTGAAGAGAACACTGCGGGAGAAAAGTGGTTTAAGTGGGATATATTTGAATTCTTATAAACATAACCCAACAACAACAGCACTTACCTTCTACAATTTTGCAAAAGCAGGCCACCCAAACCATTAAAGTCACATCGTATACCTGACAGACACCATGTGCATTTTCTAAACCAAATAATTAAATTGCCAGGGTAATTATTATTGAACTAAACAACACGTTCTACGCTTTGACTCTCATAAAGTCACGCACAGTAGCTCATGGTACAGAGGAGTGCACTGGAAAGCAGGGTTTCGGGTTGTAATTCCCAGTTCCACAGGAAGACTTGTCATTACATAGAGGAGTGAAACACTAACTCAGTCTGACTGAATTATTTTTTTCTGCAGAACAGTTATACTTCTTACCTTCAGGAAGATTTTAATGAAACTTAACTTTTATATACTTTGAGATGCTTACATAAAAAGTCATACAAAAAGGCAAAGTATGATGAATAAGCAAATAATTTGCTTTAAAATACAGCATGTCCTTACTGAGTCAACACCTACACTACAGAGGTGCTATGTATAGCAGAATTACTGTCAACCTACCATGTGGTGCAAAAGGGGACAGATAAACAGCATTTGCTGTAAGAAACCTGTCTGCAAGGGACTCCTCTGCCACTGGGTACTGACATTCCTTAGAGGGGGCTGTGTCTGTACACACACACATGTTTGAACAGTGAAGAACAGGAAGTAATTTCATGTCCTGTTCTTCAGACCCAGAAGACCAGAAATATGTATGGAATTAGCACACCTGACTCCCGCACCCATGAAAACAGTAAGAAGCAGATCTGCCTGCATGGCTTTCAAAGACAGAAGGAGAGGAGGAAATTAATGCAGACTAGTAATTTTTGGTAACTGGACAGCATCCCACATTTGCACCTGTAAAGGATTCATCCCATTCTGAAGTGACCACAAGCCGAGGAAGACATTTTCAGAACAAATTAATAAAAGAACAGTGCAAGCTCTTCTGATTTTCTGGAGCTTCATAAATTTCCTCTAAGTTAGTATGTATTACTTGATCCAAAAGACTATATAGATGTTAGAAACAAATAGGGAGACTGTACACTATTTTAAGAAATCTATTCTCTGTTTAAGGATGAGAAATCTTAGTATTTAAGGGAAATACAGGCGAAAGGAGAAGAAACTAGGTGAAACACACCAATAAGATCCATCATCTAAAAGATGGTCTTCAGAACATATATGAACATTTAAAAGCCCCAAACCAACATGTTATTGTAAGTACATCTGAAAGTTTTCTTTACAATGCTCTACATGTGAAACAGATCTACACATCAGGCAACATAAGTAAGAACGCTTAGTGTGAGTAGCACTAAGGCCACAATTACAAAATTTGTTTTTACTCTAATAACTTAATTTGTATGAAGAAAGCTAGTATAATTTAGACACCCTAGGGAGCTCAATACAATAAATGAAGCCAACATCTTCTTCCATATACGCCAGACTATAATGCATAAATAACCTCTAAACTTCCCCTGGGCTTTCTGCACAACCTTTTCTCAGCATGACAAAGGCAGAAAGCCATAGCTTTTAAGACCAGAAGGATGACTGTGATGACCCAGTCTTACTCCTGTATAACTACAGCCTTCCCTGAATTACTGCTTCACACCCAACAGCTGTGCTTAAACTAGGACATACGTTGTAGAAAAACTATCCAATTTTCTTTTAAAGGTGAAGACTACACCACAACATCAATGTTCTAGTAAATAATTATGAGGGCAGTTAAACTATGTGCCTTTTTACCCATCAAAATTTATTGAGGTTAGACTTCCAGCCATTTGATCTTCTTTTTACACAGGACCACTAGACAGAAGAATTCTCTCTTACCTTTTTCCTGTTCTCTATGTGGGTACTGATGGACTACGATCAAATTACCCCATGAACTTTCTCTCTGGTGAACAAAATAAATTAAGCACTCACAAGTCTTTCCCTGTAAGCCATATTTTCCAAACTTCTAATCACGCCTGACAAAACCCTGCAGTTTTAAACATTCTTCTTGAAGTGTGGATTCAGAACTGGACACACATTCCCCAGAGTAGCTGCACCATGGACAAGTTCTGAAATACTATACCTAGCCTTCTCAGACTTTACTTTCTTTCACAGCTAAGGATCAGACTATTCCTCTTTCTCGCGGTGCTGCATTGGGAGGTTATTTTCAACCGCTCATCTACCATGACTCACATGTCTCCTGCAGAGTTACTGCTTTACAGATGAGCTCTCATCTCCCAGAAATACCACGAGCATCCTCTAGAACTACATTTCACGACAGTGAATACCATCGTTTGCTTTGACTGACCCTACTACCTACTCTGAACTGTGCTGCCTCAGCAAATTTCCTCCCTTCAATGCACACACAGCTCCAAAGTGTCCTCTTACATATGGACCAACAGTCACAAATTTATTTTCTTCCAAATTATTTACAAAGAAAAATCTATGCATAGCCAAGAAGAGACAGATGAGCACATCTTCCATCTTGAACACTTCAACAACTCAAGTGATGTTAAATTAATGAACTGTTAATAAGTGGAGTCATGGCTCTGCTGATAAATAGTTTAATGGAAAAAGAGATCTTAATCTTTCCCTCCTACCATTTATCACTATGTAAATAAATAACCCTCCTGCTTAAGTGATAAAGAGCCAGTAATTATTTTGGTTAATATAAGAAAAGTTCAATCTGCCCAACTATAAGAACAGAAAAGCCTCAATGCTTGCTCCTTAAAACTATTACCATAATATCAGGAGTTCAGCGGTCGCACAGCGTTTCAGCATAAGATTACAACTGATGCATACTGAATGTGATGGACGAACCCTGATTCTTTGGCAAAGTCCTGTTACAGTACTTTAAACATTACCACCCTATAGCTTTCAAACCTACTCCCTACTCACGGTTATTCTTTCCACATTGAGGTATTTGAAGTAAATGTGTCCATAGGTCATTTACCACAGAACACAGGACAGCACATTAGCTTAAGTCACCACTGTGGGTGGATCGCTGCTCAGAATGGTGTATCTGATCTGTGAGGGGACAACTACTAGTAAGCGTTAAAAGGCATTTTCGGGAAATCCTGCTGCACACGCGTGCCCAAACTGCACACTGCGGAATTGAGATTTAAATATGCTGTCTGCTCCACATCATTCAACCCAGATTAAAAATAACAACAACAAAACTTCCACAGTTTTCAAACTTTCTGTACTGTGCTGGTTATGAGAATGATAGGCATTTAAATATGAACAGTTCTTGGAAAGTTTTTTTTAAAGACTATAGGCATCTTAGTCAATACAAAAACTAACAGCCTAAGTATCTTAGGCTGGAACTTTTATGTCATGTGTCAAAGAACAACCCTATTAAATCTATATGGGGCATATCAAGTTGTAAGTTGTTGTTTCTTTAATCAAAGATAGGATTAAGTTCAAGGTACAGAAAGCAAAATAAAGGATTCTACTTCCAATTAAATCAATGGCAAACTACCTACCAGTTTCAATGCGGGAAGATCAGAGGTGAAAGGAATCTGTTTTCTGAGTTAAGCTCACATTTCAGCCATGGAAAGAAAGATTTTGTGGACACTGTATACAATTACTGCTCTTTAAACTAAAACAATAATGCCACATTTTATTCCCTTCATTTGAAATCAATATTTAAGAAAAAGAAACAAGCAAAAAATCTAACCAAACAAACTCCAGGCCATGGAAGAGCAGATTGCACTCAAAAAATCTAGGGTACGAATCAGAAAGATACGAGACACAAGGCAAGAAAAGATTATTGCATGCTTCAGTCCTATAGGATTGTGTCTTAAGTAAATGAAGTATGCTGAGGAAGCTGCACTTCACCTTATATAATCAGAAAAAAACATCAAGAAAATTTCTAAACAGAGTCACAGAACAGTTATAGTTGGAAGGGACCTCTGGAGGTCACCTGTTTCAAGCAAGCTGGGAGGTGTCCAGTCAACTTTTGAGTAGCTGTAAAGATGGAGATTTCACAACCTTTCTGGGCAACCCGTTCCAATCTTTGACTACTGCTGCTGTAAGTAATTGTTCCCTTTTCTTTATTTGAAACTCTCCTTGCTGTAACTCATTTCAGTTGCTTCTTCCACTAAAAAGCCTGGCTTTGTCTTCACTGTAGCTCCATTAAGTAGCTAGAAAAAGAGGCAGAATACAGTAGAGGAAATGTGAAAGAAGTCAGTGTAATTCACCTGAAGCAAGAAAACGCAGATAAGTAAACAGTACGTTGAAATGCCTACAGTATAATTCTGGATTTGAAGAGATTAGAGTACCTTTCCCCATCTGAAAATACATTTGCTGCTTGACCTTGTGGCAACTTGCACAATCCCTCTGGTTACGTTGATATTAATAAATAAAAGGGAGCCAAGGTATGGGATTCAACACTGCCCTGTAATCATTTATACTATTTAAATATTAGTACACTTAAAACCTGTCATGGCTTTGGCCTGGGCTAATTATCAAATCTGAGGTGATATTTAGGTGTGATTTAGGTATAATACAAGCCTGGGACAATTCTCAAACTACTTGGACCCCAAATGTGGCTGGAGATTAGAGGAAAGGCAGATGAAAATTGGGGATGTGACCTTCATCTAGATGTTATGTCTCAAGGTCTGAAAGCCACCCTCAATCTGTTCTATTTAGCAGGATAGAAATAATTTTCATGACTCCTGTACGACTAATGTAAAGCCTTCCATTTCACAAAAAAAATTGAGGCATTCTGATAAAAACTAACATGCAAGTATTTTTGTTGTATTTGTTTGCCTGCAGAAGAAGCAAACCATGAAAATTAAGTTAGAAAAAATCCTTACATCTGGATACGTTATAGATAACATAACTGCAGGTTAACACTGTCCTAGGGACATGGCCAAGAACAGAAAGGCTGGGACTATTTTGTACACTACAGCTTACAGTGCGACTGTTGTTGTTACATCTTGGGAGTGAAATGAACGAGTACATCACAGCTGCTGAAACAAAGCACTTGGAAACAGAATTCCCATACAGATAAAGACCTGGAATAGATTTGTATTTGGGGAGGGACTTTTCGTAAGGGCAACTAATGACAAAACAAGGGGAAATGGGTTTAAACTGAAAGAGGGCAGGTTTAGATTAGATTTTAGGAAGAAATTTTTCACTGTGAGGGTGGTCAGACACTGGAACAGGTTGCCCAAGGAAGTTGTGGATGCCCCCTCCCTGGAAGTGTTTAAGGCCAGGCTGGATGAGGCTTTGAGCAACCTGATCTAGTGGAAGGTGTCCCTGCTGATGGCAGGGGGGTTGGAACTAGATGATCTTTAAGATCCCTTCCAATCCAAACCATTCTATGATTCTATGTATTTTCTGTGCAGCTGCAAAAGCACCAACAGTTGTTTGAAAACCAATGTAGCACAGTATCAAGGACAGCTAGAAACAGAGTCAATCTCTGCACAGCCCTGATGCCACAGTTTAACTGAGAAACAAACTGGTTTTTTTGAAATGCACAGATGTTCTTCCTCCCACTCAAGATCGCAAGCATTAAAATACATCATACAAAACTACGTAACTTCCTTTAGATGCAAAATCTTACCTCAGAACAAAAATAAAGATCTCTTACCAGGCAATCTTACAGGTTTCCATGGTGCAGAATTTGGCACATATGCATGTTTACTAGCAGTCACTATCAGCTGATTGCCCAACTTATACTGAAACTTGAGGAAGGCAGTGCCATCTGCTCCTGAAGTTCCAGATGCAATGGAGATCTGGTTGGTAAAAATCTCAATGAAGGCTTCAGTTACTGGCTGATGTGTGCTGGCATCACTTACATGGACCTTCAGCGTTACTTCTGTAATGACAAACAACCACAGCAATTATCGTCTGTAAAGCTTCTGCGTAAGGTAGCAGTTAGAACATGCTAGCGCACCAATGACCAAAAAGACACAGGGCTCAGTGCTAACCTCCAACACTTCAGTGCCATGTACGACCTCTTAACCCTGGCCTGCAGTTCTCCACTTCAGGCACTCACTCTTTTGAAACACTGCAGATCCTACCACAAGCCAGACCAGGTCCTGAATTGTCACCCTACTGCTAACTAGAGCTGTAGAGGCATCTATATTCCACCTATGACTCACATGCAGCTGGGCAGCACACCACCAGGGGCAGGCAAGATTCCCTTTGATGAGCAACATATCAATCTCACAGTAGCATCATGATTCTAAATGCACATGCTATCAAACAACAGGTATTAGTCGCATGGTAACTCTCTGTAAAGGTCCCTGCCTTGCTGTGTCTGCTCCAGTCAGCCTTCTCCACCAGCAGTGGGAAGAGGGAAAGGCTGGAAGTAGGCTGTGCTCCTTCACCCCTTCCCCAAAACTTCCCTCTTTGTGTAGCAAAGGAACAGAGGACATCTGTTGTCATGGAACCCAGGAAGAAAGCAGGCAATGGAGAGGGCTGCATTACAGTTGGAGATTTTGAAACCCAGTGGGAGAGACTGCCCCAGCTGGCACAGGACTTCCTTAGTGATGTCTAACCAAGGTGGTGAAATCCCACAGGATCAAGTCCTTGTCCTCAAAGCACAGGACAGCCAGTTGGGATGCAGAGTGCTAGCAGTGAGCGAGACAGGAACACCTCTCTCTGCCTCCCTGTTCACTGGCCCTTTTTCCAAAGGGGGAAAAATGTCACAGCCCCTAGTGATATCTGCTTGTTAGCCCTGACACAACTGTATTACCTGTTCCCACATACCACTGGTGGGTATAAGAAGCAAAGAAGCGACGGTTAAAACAGTCAGGAGAATCATACATCTTGGAGACATGCAGCCAGAAGCTAAGACAGTGGACTACATTTTCCTTGAGTAATTTGCCATTTTTCCAGAAACTAATTACTTGTTTAAATGTTTCCAGATGTACAATATTTTTCCACTCCAGGGCACTCCTATGACTAAACCATGCATTGTGTCACCAGGCTTTTGTTACATAAAGTGGAGTAGCTTGTGCAAGACAGTCCCTCTGGAAGGCATTCCTCCACATCTACAATTATTTTTCTGTCCCTCCAACAGTTCCTCTGCTTCATGCTCTAAAGTAGCAGCTGTTGTCTTTCTTCAGTAACTATGACTTAAATGCAGTGCTGTCTTGTAAAGACTAAGCAATGGCCCAATGCCTCCACCAAGCCACTCCTTGGATTTTTTTGTTTATAGTCACCTCATTCTCCTAAATGAGGACCTCTTCCTCTTTTCTCCCCCACTCTCCCCTTTCTCTCATTCTCCCCCTCATCTTTGGAAATGCTGTTGTTCTTGCATGAAGTCCCCTACCTCAGCTTACTCCATTCCCCAAGGTAGTAAGTGATATTTTGCAAACTCCCTTTTTGTGTCAGGGGAATTCAGCTGCTAACAAGCAAGAAGCTCACATTCCACATGCAACTCTCTTCTTCCTGTGCTGCCCAGGAAAGACAGTACGATCTCCTTCTCCATATATTTAAAAACAATACATTGATTTCTACAAAACATTATTGGTGGTACAGTTCTGTTATATTACTACTGTACGTTAGGATTTTAAGAACTTATTTTGGTGTAAGCCCTGAGCCAGCAAGACGTAACATCAAGAAGAACAAGAACTTCACAAAATCTCTGTTTTGAATTTCAATAGTGAAATGACACAACTAAGTATGCCGAGCAACATACTGTAACAATATAAGATTTGAAAAGGATGTCAGGATTTAATATAAACATATCAGCACCTCTGTCCTAGGGGCATTTCAGCCAGAAAGATAACGGGCCCTTTTATAAGCAGAGACCTTCTGTCTGAATCCCACAGTACAGAAAATACAAATATCAGGCAGCCCTGAACAAAAACCCCATTAGAGAAATTGACCATCATCGCAGCCCTTGCTTTAGAACTTGGCAATGGAGGACACCAATTTAGAGGGGATCAGTATGAAACACATTCTAACTACTAAAGATTCTGGACTTGTTCCCAGTTTTGCATTTAGTAGTCAAGGAAAACAATGTATACTGAAAAATAGTGTCCATACTCTCTGGTGTGCACATACAGAATCCCTCCTTAGAAACCTTGCCTTGACCACCAAGCAACTTGTGAAATCTTGTGCATGTGAAAGGCAGCCACATAAATCAAAGGAGGAACATGTATGTATTTGTGTATTTACAAACTGGACATGTATACATGTACATAAATGTGAAGGCAAAAAGCAATATAAGTTTTATTTTCAAAATGTGCAGGAACAATATGCTTAGATCCAAAGCCAGATAGCTACGCTGTTAATGTTTCCCACTTTGAATTGCCTAGCAAAGAATGCTGAAGAACAGATGCGGTTAAGAATAATGGGTCATGCATTAAAGAAAAAGCAAGGAAACAGGACAAGCTGAACATTGTGGTTAGCAATTTCAGTAACATGAAAGTTTAGCCTTTTCTAAAACAACCACATATAAGAAGGAACCAAGGAGCTCTGGAATATTAAATACTAATCAAGGAAGAGGGTAAGGAAACAACAGAAGTATCAAATCAATTTAATTCCTTATAGACATCCAAAATTCTAGAATAGAGACTACTATTAAAATTGATCAACCAAAAAAATTTCCCTGTATACATAAATCCAGCTCTCTCTTTCCAAACAAGAGAGCTAGCCATGGGTATCTCCAGCAGCAAATTCCTTTATCCTTCACACTATAGCTATATAAGGGCTTCTATCTGCACCCTTCTCTCTTTCTGATAAGGAAGGATAAGGATTTCCAAAATCCTCTTTCCAAACAGAAATGATGAAGGCCATCACCCAAAATGGAAGACTGATGCCCTGAGAGGCAACAGACTGGAACTTCTATTACAAACCACAGTCTCTAGATTACACACCGGTCTTTTTTTCTCCTCTTTTTTAATATTTAGACTTGTTTTTTCCTGAGAAGACAGAGAAAATCCTAGCAGCCTGAAAAACCTTAATACCTTTTCATGTGTTATCTTACCTGATATACATGTGAAATATATACAACTTGTTTAATTCAGGGCTTTCTCCCACACAACAGATCCTTTCTCTTCTCATCTAATGAGCAGTGAAGTCATGAACACTAAACCTGCATTATCACAGTAATTTCCACAACAACAGAATGATTACAAGCTTTAAACTGGAGAGAAATTGTTGAAGAAAACCTCTTCTCAAACAATCTATAAAGAGAGACTATGAAAACTTAAAGCTATACAGCAAGTTTCAGAATTGTTAGGAGGTATTCAGGCGCTTCTTGAGGAACGAGAGGACTGAAGAAGAGAAAGAAGAGAGCAGAGTGATCCAAGATCAGTCTTCCCTCAAACAGGGTCTTAGACCAAAGCATTAGGTATACTAACAGAAGCATTTAATTAGAAAAAGCTGCTTAGAAGACTCATTGTTAGCTAAGAAGTAGTTCAAATATCTGGCAAACTTTTCAGTTGGTACTCTCAGCAAAACAGTGGGGATAAAACAGATACATTATTCTCGAGTTTTACAGCCTACCACAGCAAGAAGCTCACACAGAATTAAAGACACAGGAACTCAGAGAAAGAAGGACATCTGCAGTAAGCGGGGAACACGACAGAGGCAGGGAACCAAAAGCACTGCAGAAGATGAACTCTGAGAACATGTCCTGCTAAAGAGAATCATGATTCAGTCTTCCACAGATTCATGATACCGTGCTTTCTATTACTTATTACAGCAGAAATACTCAATTACTAAGTTCTAAAGGAGCTTTGCTCTATGCTACAGTGAGGCCCTGGAGAAAGGAAAGGGACATAAAGGTGCACAGTGCTGATGTTTCCTCACCGCAGAACAAAGCGGAGATGGCTGAGTTGACAACCATCAGCTGGGGCTGACAAACCCACCCAGGGCAGCTGTGATCTCCCTCACCTCCCCAGACAGGCCAGCCACATTCAGGACAGGCTGTGTCTGAACTGACAGCCCTGGCTCATACACCTGGCTCCTGACCAGTGTGGTGTGAACATAACTCACTCAGAGCTGGGCTGCCTGGCATGTGGTTCCCCGTTGGCTCCCAGTGCCGTGCAGGCAGGCACAGGTACAGCCAGAGCAAATTTGCCTGCATGACTAGTGCATGTCCTGCCATTACATTCCTACAGGAATGTTTCATGTCCAAAGCAAGAGCTAGTTATGTTAACTGTTCATTTCCAGGAGATGAACCGTAGGCAAAGATGTCCTGTCTGGACGGGCAAAAAGGCCGTGTGTCCCTGCCTAAAAGTGCAGCTAGGAACGGGCCACTCCAAACATTAAATAGGGCAAGGCAAGCCTTCTGGGAAACCCTGCAACTCTGCCTTCAAGAATCCCAAAGCAAAGTGGAAAAGGAGGTTAGTGGGAAAACAGCAAATACAGGGTTACATTCCACAAAGAGATTAAGGTTGCTGTATGTGTATGCTCAAGCAAGCAAGACTAGCCTAAATCACCTGTCTTACAGTTATATTCCTTTCGCTTCTTTCAGCAATCACATCTTGTTTTTCAAACAAGCACAAACAAAAACTACTACTTACAGTGAAAAGAGTTGCTTAAGTGTGACTCCCTCACAGTCTTCTAGTACTAAATTTATTGCCACCTATATAAAAAAAAAAAACAACCCAGCATCTCCAAGGCTATAATTTGGGAAAGTAAAATAAAAGAGGAAAAAAAACCCCTTACATGTTAACACTCCAGTCCAGAATCCCATCTGTCTTCTTAATCGGATTTTTGAGATTTTACCAAGTCTAAACTTTCTCTGAGCAATCCTTCCTGTGCCATCTGCTTTATGAACTGTATTTCCTCCTCTGAAATACACCTTAAGACAATTATTTCTGCAGTCACAACCCCTCTTCTTAGACGCACAACTGCTCTTTATATTGCTGTGAACTCCCAGTTTGGGAACTGTTTCCTTCAGGACTGGTATCATCAGCGCTGCCTGCTATAATCAAACTTCTGAAAAGTGAAAAGCACTGTTTATTTTGTTTTTTTGTTTGTTTTTAAAAATAAGCCAAATGTTACATAGAAAGAAAAATCCTGAGCGATATGAGTAATGGCACACTCTCAAATCTCAAATACTGAAATAAAGAGAGAAAAGTTATAACACCAACTGGAAGCTAAAGATTACAATCTCATTTAGGTCCCTTGGTTTCTGTGCACACACCCCTCTGTCAGGCAGACTCCCGCTGACGTCTTCTGGACAGATGATCTCTTTTGGGAACAGGCTGACACAGGCAGCCGTTATCACTTCTCCTTTCCTCTGGGGGTCCCCTCTCCATGGACAATGTCAGGATATTACCAAAGAAAGAGATTTTAAAATTATCTAGGTTTTGATTAGAGAAAGAAAACTTCCTGCTCATTTAAAAGATGCCATTATGAACTTTATTTAAAATAAAATTGTATCCTCTGCTCTGATTGAGCTTAACCGGCAACATGCCTGGTTTTGAATCCTACATGCCAAACGGATAAAAGCCTTTCTGCCTCTTGACCTTTTGCTCATGTGCAAGGTCACTGCTCAGCCAAACAATAGGATTTTTACTTATCTCAAGGAAAAGATTTTCCTAGAAAAAGGAGTGTTCCCCAGCCCCCAGCCACAGATGCCAATTCAAGCATTTACATATCATTGTATCTTTCTAATGTACTGCATCAAGGCTCTGCTGACAACTAAGCTTCAAAATAGTAGCACAGTAAGTTCATATGAAAAAAAAAAATGAAACACACGTAAAATCCCTCCAGAAACACACAGGCTCAGGTCTTCATTGATGTGGTCACCTGAGAAGGAAGTTCACATGTACCACCTCAAATGGCAAATTAGGCATGCCTGAAG